TCTTGAGGCCCCACATATCGTGAGACTTTAAGCTGTTTGCCTTATGCGTACGTCCGGCACTGCACGAGGCAGAACTACTTTCATGAAGCTAATACTTTCTCTGCTGGTCATAAAATTTCGAAATTCCCCGCTTTTATTAAAACCGAACGTTCATTACTGTGTTTACAACTGTCCTCGTACAACGTAGCCTTACATTAAATTCAGAAGACGTTTATTTTATCATAATCTCGTTTCGTTCAAAATATCAAATAATATTAGTCGGCTTGGTCTACTTCAATACTTGGACCAGTCTTAAAATTTTCGTACCAGCGCCTAATCTTATCTTTTGTCCAAGCCATCTTCCTTATCATGACTTCAAACCTTCTACGTAACGAGAAGTTTTACGCAGATCTTTGGTTTAATGAATATTCGACTTAAAAATGTTTGAAGAATGGAGTATTCTTTTCTGATAAATATAATGCACTATTTCTGCAGATAGATCATATTAACTTAAAAGCGGGATGGACGTCTTCTGGGTTGTAGTCTGGTAGAAATTTACGATCGTTCCAGAGATATTTCCTGATGATGGACGCAGCAAGGGTCTCTGGAACGTTAGTAAACTTCTACCAGACTACACGCTCTACAACCCAGAAGACAACGACCTTTGTACTCACCGCCGCCAGAATCACATATTCTACGTTTAAGCGGGGATTGTACCTTTTATGTCGACATTTTGTCAAGTTCATAGAAGCAAGAATTATTTTTTTTATAATTTCTTCTCGAAATAAATATTTATCGACGTGTTTCACATACACAACAAAACATTGCCTATTGATATGGGATCCTCAAAAATTGCTAGCAACGTCTCAGACATTTTCCAAACATATTATAAAAGTTCCATGGTCCTGTCATGAATACGCCCTGATAAAGGCATATTTGGAAGGAAAACAACCGGGAAATGAGTTGGAAAGTTGCACTGCCACTGTTGTACACGAGACTTGAAATGATTGTAACGTAGGCGACCTAGTAGGTATAAGAGATGTTGTGCAAATGGGTAATCCCCCTATTCCTGAGCAAAGGACATTAGTCTTTATTTAACAAAAATTTCTGAAACTCCTTTGTTGCTTCCGCTACTCGTAGTACCATTATTCACGTATCTGCTTTGTCGTTATTGAGTATTTATAACTTTCAGTGTTTTAAAGTATTACTAGTATTAAGTTTACATCAAATTAGAACCTCGACGTTTTTCGGTCTGCTAGTAGCGCAGCACGTGACTTCCCAGGCCGCATACTTCACAGGGACTTTACTATCGCGGACAGTATGAACAACGGGATATTTAAATCGGAATTTCAAGTCTTTCGATGTACTTCTGACACAAAATGACATATTTGCACAAACAAACCCAAAGCACCTAGAACTAATGAAATCACAAAATGTATTTTTTCACCCCAAACCACCACACAACCTTCCCTTAAAGCAGACTCAGTTCGAGATATTCTTGCTGACATTCAAATTGGGTCTTGTACACTCCCGTCTCCTGGTTTAAGTCTAAATATTAAAATATGACTGTTAAACTTGATTTCTCACTAAAATAGAAGATATAAGATTGAAGGTGTTCAAAAAAAGGTATCTGAGGATAATATATGGACCTAAGAGGGTATAAACATCAGGATGAAAAAAGTATAACCAGGAACTTTATTCTTTCTACATTTCAATTACACCAGGGAGAATAATATGAGAAATGTTTACAAACACTTGATCGGAAACCCAGCAACGATAATACCACTTGCAAGATTTAGACATTGATGAGAGAATAATATTAAAATGCATCTTGAGGTAACGTTGTAAGGATGTGGAGTATATCCAAGGTTTTTTTTCGTTACCATTCGGCGTACACGAGTTTTTATATTTTCTGTTCCATTTATCCTTCAGCGCCTGTATTTTTCCTCTGCATGTTTTTGGCGAATACACAAACCCCAGGTTCAACGTCTATCTCTGCATGTCGCTCAAAACGTATTTACGGGTTTCAATTGGATCTCAGAATAAAACTACTTTCATTTGTTAAGGTGGTGATCTCTTTAGGTAAGAACAGCGATTTCAAAAAACACTCAGAAAACGAAAATGTCTGTCGTCTGGGTTGTAACGCCGTGTACTCTGGTAGAAGTTTACAAACGTTTCAGAGGTCCTTGCTGCCTCCAGCATCACAGCACTCATATTATAGCTCTGATGATGGAGGCAGCAAGGACCTCTAAAACGTAGGTAAACTTCTACCAGAGTACACGGGGCTACAACCCAGAAGACAGACATCTTCAGACTCGGCGCATTGAGAACCTCAGACCTTACTAAATTTCATTTGTTTCCAATCTGCGTTCTTGTGACCTGTGGCAATTTCCGAAAAGGTTTTCCTTTAGACATATTTTAGTGTCCTTCCTTATTGCTAATGCATCGGAGGGCCAGAGAATGGATGTACGGGAACACTGGGAGCAGACAGGATAGCATCAACACGCGTGTCTCAAATCGTACTGGTTCAGTTTAAATATAGCTGCTTGGGGATGCAAATAGACCCCAGGCCGGTTCAGGCACCCAGACAGACAGGAAGAAATCTCAAACAAACGCACCGATATGCACAATTAGAATACGGGCGACAGGTAAATAAACAGACCAAACTTAAATAATCACACTCATATAATGATTATTCTAATAAATTATGATGCTAAAATCTGAGTTGCGTCAGCTCAAATTGTACAGTGAACGGCTACGTGCTGAAATACCAAGGCTTCTTTTCCGGGGGTCAAGACAGCCGGCGCATGAAGATGACACACTATCTAGTGCCGAGGTTAAAAATAAATGGAGCTATACCTCCACGTCCAACAGGCCGGTGCTTGGACACAAGAACAAATTCACTTTTGTCACATTACGAAATTCTGATCAATTGAATAGGTCAATACAGTATGGTTCTTTAACGTGGCTCTATCAACTACTAGTGGCATACAGCTTCGAATGTGACATAAACAAATTATAAATCGGGAAGGATGAAGAATAATGGGGCTATGATACTGGGTGTGAGACTGTGGACTGGCTCGAGAGAGGTTCCAGTGGCAATCTCTTGTCAACAAGGTAATGAAACTTTGGGTTTCATATAATGTGGAGAAATTTCTCGACTAGGTGAACTACAATCAGATTCTCAAGGACAAAGACAGAGAGGTAATTTAACGACAGTCTTCCGACTGCAGTGTGGAATGAGATGGAAAGATGATCATGGCCATTAGATATGATTATGGTAGTAAGAAGTCACGGCTTATTTCAAGGTACTATCCGGAATTCGCTAATAGATACTGTGGGAAAACACGAATAAACTGAGGAAGAACATGGTAAGCGTTTGAACCGATTGGGAGGCAGCGCGCAGACAATAGTCTGTTCTTGCCTTGCAGACATTTTAATTTTGTGCATGGTACGCGCCCCTCTATCCGTGGTTATTTCCTCTGTCTTTCTCTCTTTCTTCCCCACTTTCATTGTTACTTCATTTTATCCTTCCCTTCTACCCTCATTCTGCCTTATTTCTTCAGTTCTTTCCTCCTTTTCCTTTCCCTGCCTTGCCTGATACTTTACTTCTTATTTGCGTTGTCCTCTCTGCTGTAGTCACAAAGCGCCGGATTGTACTCGCCATTCAGCTAAACAGCTGCACTCAAATTGAAAACTGAAACGCAACCCGTTATTTTCATCTTCAGGAAGTGTTGAAGAACGAGCTACCTCTTGTTATTCTCAATTTTTCGGGTACAAAAATAAAACACCATAAATATTTTGGGAATTTCCGATGTCAGATTTAAAATCGATTGGTATTTCAGACACGGAACTTCGCATTCCAACACCCGCAAAGGAAAAAGTAAGAGCAATAATCAGAAGGCATTAGCATTGGGTAATTCCACACATCAAGGCCACTTGTGTTTGTACACGAGAAGCTGGCGGTCTCATTGAGTGAGCTGAGCGGACATTCCGCGCCGGCCAGGCTGTGTTATCGATATGACAGCAACTATCGATCTACGAAATGCAAACCGAAGCAGGTTATGTGACTGTCGGCTTATAATTAGATAGAGAGAAAACAAAAGCATAAAGCTTGAAACAAAGAGAGAACGAAACTAGAAAGAAGGGAAGGAATGACGGAATAAAAATAAGGTACGAAAGCAAGATAAACAAACAAAAGAAATATCGAAAGAGAGAAACTGATGGGAACGATGATCATGAATGGTTAGTAGGAAAATACAAAATAAATCTGAAAGATCCGGCTGTCTTATCTCCCATCTCCTTCACGGTCTTCAAGGTGGTCGTTTTATCCTGGTTCAGCCACAAAAATTATGTCTGCATTTCTTACCTATCTATCCTAGCTACATGTCCAACGCACCGTAGCCTCCTAGCGTTCACTGCTCCTCCCACATGTAACCCAAAAATCGCCGAGTTCCTTGTTATAAAACTATTTTTAAATTGCTCAATCACTTTAATCCATCTTTGGTACAAACCATTAGACACACCGGCCCTGGGGGCCAAATACTGGCTCACAATAAGAAACTGTCAGCGCCACAAGAAGTACAGCGGGAATTACGAGAGGTAGAAGGGGGGGGGGGTGTTCTTACTGCACATGCGCACTCCGCCTATTGCGAACACATTTTCCCAGGAGTCTCCATTGTCGCAGTGCATTATCTATACTAAACGGTGTTGCAGGGTGGACGCGTGTTTTGTGAAATTGCCCATTCTTTCACGTGTATGAATGGATATCATGGAATTATTTTATGTCAAAATTTCAATGTATTTTTGTATCAGTTGACTGGACGATTTTGTCTATGGTCTGTTGCTTATTACAAAATGCCAACTTCTTCAGACGAAATTTTTCCTTGCCACTGGTCGCTGTACTGAATCAGATGGATTCAGTCAGTACTCTCAAACCCTATTTCTTAAGTGGCCCCCTTCTCTTAAAGTTTTGTATGCATCTCTAATTTCTTTTATTTCTCTCCTATATACGACAGACGTATGTATAAAGGTCTTTATTTCTAGTTTTTACTAATTTCTTAAAGAGTGTGTACACGCAAATGAAGTCTACTTAGCATTCAAATGTTTAAGTCGACGTGTTATCTTAACCCTCTAAATGGACACAATTTGGTGATACACGGTTACGACCATGACACAAACATGTTCTTAACAGAAGGTGAAAATAAGCCACAAAATTAACTTTCTCACGTCAGACCAGCATTATATTTACAACGACACCAGAAGAGCACAAAACTATACATTGACGTTCAACAGACAACCTAAATGATAAAAAATGTGTTAAATTACTATTCAATAACGTATGACATGTGAGACAAAACCCCGCTGATTCCTAAACTTCTTAATGGAAGCCTGTTGTATGATTAAATCTGAATGATGATGATGGAAACGATAGTCAGTTGTTTTAAAGTACATTAATTTGTCCCTATGACTGAGGAAAACCACAAAAAATCAATCACAACAGCCGGCCTGTAATCTACTCGGGGCCTACAGATACGAAGCAGAAATGAAAATACTCGACTGCGACGTTTCGCTATGAAAAGAGCGAACTCCGATCGGTTTAACCTCGGAGTTATAAACTATGTTCCCCGCTAGATATAAGACAAGGGCTCCACAGCTGTTTGGATAAGAAGCAAATAAAACATTAGCCCCTACCGACACTTCAGCTGCGACGAATTAGCCCTTCCCTTGATCGGTCTAAAACAACATTTGAGAATTAAGTAGACTCAAGTTATTTAGAAAACTTTAAAGAAAATCTTTGAAAACTGTTCCCATGGTTTAAAAAATTAAAATATAGTAAAGGTCACATATTTTCCAATCGTATTGGTCGTTTTTTCTTATCTCACTGACCGTGATTATTTCGAAAACATAAAATATAATGTTGTAAAACGATGTGAACAGTAACACTGTTCACTTTGGCCAAATATACCTCCGATAATTTCCCTCCGAAAACTTTCTATTGAACATCCCTTATTAAAATCGTCTCCTATAAAATAACACAAAACTGGGATTTAACTGACTAATTAGTTATTCATATTACATTTATGGAGCATATTTTGCAAGTAACTGATATCTTATCTGAAAGGTTAACAAGAAACTAATATGGCTATCAATACAATAATGTAATGACCTTGTGTGTTTCTAAGAAAGATACTTTCTGATTCGTCATTATGACAAATAAACCAGAATGCACGATAAACCCTTGCACCAAAATGACGAATTACTTTACTGAGAAGTTCTATGGCGGAGGGATAGCTGGCGACAAGCGGACAAGTGGGAAGATCCTAGCCGAGTCCAACGTCCAAGATCATCATAACGACGAACCCCCAGATGGCTCCCCAGGTTGCATATTTCCCGTTACCACTGAAACATAAAACAAAACTCCCATTAAAAATCTTCACTGTCGTCAAGTTTGAAAGTTCAGTTAAGAAATATATCTCAGGAGTAGAAATGGGGGTGACCAGACAAATGCGCACATGATAAAAGCCCACATTAAAATTCCGCACAGAAAAAATCCCACTGTCATAAATGCTCACACGAAAAATACCCACACCGAAGAATGCTCATACGGACGAATTCCCACACTGATAAATGCTCACACGCACGAATGCTCACAAAGGAAATATACAAAACTTGTACCCAAATCTACACTACCCCAGAAGTAAAGCTGGCAGCACTGAACAAATGATTGGTACAATCGACATGAACGTACCCAGATTTGAACCTAACTGTCTGTCGAGCAGTGATTATGTATAATATATTTGACGTTGCACCTACACTGACAGAAATCAACAAACGACGACGATCTAAGAGATGCTCGCAAAATCGCAAATGCTACGTTACGCGATGATCACACTCCCCACACCCTTCAGTCAAAAACACACCAAATTTCTCAAACCTTCAGTCAGAATTAAATCCATCATTGATCTTGTCATTCTTAATCAAGAGTCAAGGAAAGAATAATAAAATTTGGCAACTCTACCACAGCAATTGCGTGCTTGTAACTCAATCAAAAATAGAAGGCTGACGAAACAGCGGATTGACTGCAACAAGTAGTCAGTTGCGAAAGTGTTTACCTTAAGACTTCATACAGCTAGACTGAATAAGACTGTGACAGTTCATAACAATGCTCTAGCACCTCAACGCTGTCTGTTTCCCCCAAAAAAGAATGAATCCATCTCGTACCAATTCTCATGAAATATTTAAGGCGGACGGGAAAAATGACGATCACTCGATTTCCTCTCTGACTTTTGAATGTGTGCTGCTCTCTTCAGGAGTCCTCTCTAACCTGTCTGTCACTAGACTCCATTGTGGCATCACATAACCTCCAAATTATAATTTCAAAGCTCATTAAAAAAAATCCTCCGCCTCTGTTATCAAGCTCACACTACATATCACCCTAACATCTTCATTCTCATTGAATCCTTATCAGGACAAGTGGACATTGCCTGGGACCCTGATAACAATTAGATTATCTTTCCCTCCCTCACGAAACAGAATGTCTCTCACTTCCCTCCTATAATCTTCTCTTTGCTTCAACTATTCTGCTATTCTTCGTAACTCTCTCTCTCTATTCGGTTTCGGGCTTCATGAGAGGCAATACGATAGATAACAACACACGTAAAGTATGAGGATAAGCTGTCCCTGACACAGTGTGACGCTTCCGAAACATGTGGGCCAATGTCTCGAACAAAGTTCAAAACAGTATCAACATATGGAGAGTGTGGGATGGGACACAACTCCTTGACATGCTGCGACCCACAGGGCACGATAAACCCGCAACTGAATTACTTCAGTTCCTAGGGTCAGGTCTGATAGACCTCTGATGGTGAGACACAAGACCCAAACCATAAGTTTCGGAGGTTCAGTACACTGAAACGTCGTGTTTCCTTTATTCACATAATCAATGGAATCCAAGCTCGATGATTTGTGATGTACGATCAGTGGTAACTATGTATACCACCTGCTTTAAAGTTCATATCTCTCCATGTTGCCCACGAAGTCTTTAGGTTTGATTTGGTTTTGAAAATAGAAGCATTTTTCCAAAGGTCATTCTCTGGGAGAAAAGCATGTTGTTAAATATTATATGGACGAGGTTTACACTTTAAAGTGTTGAAGCACAGTCTTTTAAATTTTAATCCAATTCTGACACCGGTCTTACGTGGTCTAGCGCATCCACAGTTGAAATATTTGTGTACAAGGGAAATCATTTTGCTGGGAGCAGGACTGTAATAGCAGCCCAGCTTCCTACAAGTTTCTTGTCTTGCCACCAGCGGGATTTTCTTCAGGACCGTAACCCCCCAAGAGTGGCGATCGACTCACGAATTCCAAAAAGGTTTCATATATTTTTTAAAGAAAAGATGTTGCAGATTATGTTAAAGGTTACAGGAAGAAAGTACGGAGAGAGGTAGAAGAAAAAGAACACTAAGAGAGGCAAGTAGGAGATAGGAAAACGATAAAATGAAAAATAAACGAATGATAGAACGAAGACGAGGAAGAGAGAAAGGCGGTGAAAGAAAAAGCAAGGAAGAAAAAAAGAAAGAACAGAAAAGAGGTCGATGAAAAAATAAGGGAGAGAGAAAGGAGGAGTGAAGGAAAAAAGAAACGAAAATGGATGTAAGAAATAGAAGAATGGATAAAGAGAAAATTTAGAAATAAGGTAGATTATAGTAAAGGAAAAAGAATAAGAAAAGAAAAATAAAGAGAAATAAAAGAGACAAAACTTGAAATAGTTACATTTAGAAAGAAATCAATTAGTAAACGCAACTCACTGGCGTCTATTCTCCACCCAGTCCAGAGATCATTCTGCTCACAGTGTTGTAGGCATGTACCAACAAAGCCTATAACGCAAAGGGTTCAAAGTCTAACGTCTTCTTCATTCTGCTTTTGTTGCCTTTAAATAGACTCACGCCTATATTCAAAGAAATAATACTGGTTGTACGTAATTAGTGCTGGAGTCAAGCTCAAAGTCGAATGTCATTCATAAAATACTTTTGCGTGTGTACATTTAGATAAGGCGACGCCGTCAATCTGAAGCGCAGGCCTTCCAGCTTTGTCAACCTTGAGCCCTCCAGGCAGTGCAATCACCCACTTAGTCGTGCGTAATTCTGACTTATTTCGCTATCAACTTGACAGAACGAAACTTATATCAAGAATGCATAAGACCTGAGAAAAATTATTTTATGAGGGGTTATAATTGCTCCACAGATCTGACTGTTCATTTCAAGCGGCGTACAAATTTTTAACGGCGATCTGAACACCATATTTCGTGACTCAAACATTCTGTAGTAACAGAATGAATCACAATTAGGCCTCGTTTAGAAAGATTATAATCTTAAAATGAACTAACCTGAGGATACGATACTAAGCACATTAAATTGGAGCAAACTCCAAGTTTGTTTTCACAATTTACATTAAAAAAGTGACTGCCGTAAGTTAATTTCAGAATTCTATTTTTTAATCGGGATCATTTTTAAATTTCACTAACTGACAACAGTTTTTAAACACAAAACAAACATTTCCAAAATATATTTTTCTCCTAACTGAATCATGAACCTCATTTATATTTCTTGCTATTCCCGCATACTAAATTTTGCAAAGTTCTCGAAAAATTTATCACATAAAACTGTATTTATAAATTCAGTTATTCAACGACGATGACTCAACTTCTGAGATTATACAGCACTGACTGAGATGGTAAAAAGTTCCCGAATAGAAAGCATGAATCTGGAAGGAACATGTGCTGGTTAAGGGCCTGTGGATGTACTATCCCTGAATTTGTGTGAAGAGACTGAGGAAAGTCGAGAGAAATCTGCGTATAATAATATGTAAACGGGGTTAGTCGAATCTCTACAGCATTCCACCAACCTGCAAGTAGACGCGGTGACAAAAGGAAAGGAAGAATCATGGTGGAAGAAGCAATACGAGAGAATAAATAGTTATGACGTAAGCGTGATCACGTGAATAAACTCGAAACGAAATTACACGATTTAAATCTAATATAATATTGAAAAGTTTCACGAAAAATTCTCGAAGAATTTCAGTTTCATTCAGATCGGATATCTTTAACAACCACTTAACAAATGATGGCAAGAGCTTTCTTGGGTTTATATCAGATACTTCAAAAAACAGCTGCAGAAATTTATTTTAGCTTGCTCAGATAAACATTCACTCCAGTAGCAAAGAATTCAAATTGGTCACTGTGATAAAAATGGCGGCATGCGCATTTAAATATTCGCCCTACATTTGGAGACACCTAACTTTTCCCACCACGAGGCGGAATGAAAGACCACGGAAACGGGAAAATCAATTAAAAAGTTTTGTCTACATTTCGTACACGATCTGGCGGGATCATGAATTCGATGCCGTTTCAAGCGGAAGCCATAAAACGACTTCACCAATACTTTCTTAACATACTCCCCTTCAGTATAGGCCACTGACACAACAGGACACAAAAACAGAAACACAGTGTTCTTTTTGCATTACAGATTATAAGTAGGCCATTTCTTGCGTCATTGCAGCCAACCTTGACGAACTATACTTACATCACAGTGGGGGCAACAAATGACGAAATTCATAAATAAAACAGACCATGATAATCGCAGCTGTTATTTATACGGTTCCCGAAAAGAATTTTCAAAACACGCCAAATCCAAATATTATGATCCTCGTAGCCCCCAAAATTGTTGGCGTGTGCCAAAAAGGTATGGGAGTAAGGGAAGCGTATGAAAAGACTGGACAAAAATTCATAAACAGCTTCACAATTAGTACCCTTCACTTACTAATTCTCGTGTAATTAGTCAATAATTTAGCTAAGAGATGGTGAGATCAAAAAGTACGGATGAGGAAAATAATTTTTTTTGGGCCCATAGACAACCTTCCTGAGGTAATCTTAGATGAAAGAACTCCTCGGGAGACCCAGATGAAGACAGGCGGATCAATTGAAAATGGATTTCAGAAAATTCAATTCCCACATTCGTAAACTCCT